TGGGCAATATATGTAACCTTAACATTTGTACCCCTATAATATGCTGAAATAAAATATAATAAAAAAACTAAGGCCGGGCGCTGTGGCTCACGCCTGTAATCCTAGCTCTTGGGAGGCCGAGGCGGGCGGATTGCTCAAGGTCAGGAGTTCGAAACCAGCCTGAGCAAGAGCGAGACCCCGTCTCTACTAAAAAAAAAAAAAAAAAAAAAAAAATAAAAAAAAAAGAAATGGAAACTGAATATTAAAAAAAAAAGAAAAGAAACATTCTAACTACCTGTGTAGCATTAAGCCTTTTAACTTCTCTGAGCCTTAGTTTTTTAACCCATGAACTAGAAATAATATCTACTTCTCAAGTTTGTTGTGAGGATTGGTGATCACATATATTTTTTAAAGTGCCTATATGACACGTGGCATATAACCCTTGGCTCAAAAAAAAACTTAGAATTCTGATTTCAATTGCACTCACTCCTAGAATACTGACTGATTCATATACTATTCTCTAAGACTTTAACTTGGAATATATTGTGTTCCACCAAGTCTCTTGTACACAGTAAGCAGTCAACAAATATGCACTGCATGGATAAACTGAAAGACATCATAGATATACAAAAGTATGTGGTGATAGATATGTGAAAACTATATATATAAATACATACACATACCTATACACACATACAGTCAAGTGCTACATAACAATGTTTAGGTCAACGATGGATCACACAAACAAAGGTGGAGCAGAAAGATTTCAATGGAGCTGAAAAATTCCTATCACCTAGTGATGTAGGTGTCTTAACATCACAGCACAAAGCATGACTCATATATTTGTGATTATACTGGTGTAAACAAATCTACTTGCACTGCCAGCTGTATAAAAGTCTAGAACTTACAATTATGTACAGCACATAATACCTAATAATAATAAATACCTATGTTATCAGTTTATTTACTATACTTTTTATCATTAGAGTATACTCCTACTTATTTTTTTAAAAAAAGTTAACTGTAAAACAGTCTCAGACAGGTCCTTCAGGAGGTATTCCAGAAGAAGGCATTGTTATCATAGGAGATAACAACTCCATATATGTTATTGCCCCTAAAGACAAAATGTAGAGATGGGGGATAGTGAGGTTGATAATCCTGACCTTGTGTAGGCCTAAGATAACGTGTTTGTGTCTTAGTTTTTAACAAATGTTTAAAAAGTAAAAAACAAGTAAGAAATTTTCAAAATAGAAAAAAACTTATAGAATAGGGGATATAAAGAAAACATTTTTGTACAACTGTACAATGTGTTTGTGTTTTAAGCTAAGTGTTACTACAAAAGAGTCAGAAAGTTAAAAAAAATTAAAAAATTTATTAAGTAAAAAAGTTACAGTAAGATAAGGTTGTTGTTGAAGAAAGAAAACTTTTTTTCATAAATTCAAAGTAGCCTAAGTGTAGTGTTTATAAAATCTACAGTAGTATACAGTAATGTCCTAGCCTAGGTCTTCACATTCACTCACTGCTCACTCACTGACTCCCTCTGAGCAACATCCAGTCCTGCAAGCTCCTTTCATGGTAAGTGCCCTATACAGGTACACCATTCTTTCATACTATATTTTTATTATACCTTTCCTATGTTTAAATTACACAAAAACTTGTGCTAAAACTGCCTACAGTATACAGTGTAGTAACATGTTATGCAGATTTGTAGCCTAGGAGCAATAAGCTATACATATATCCTAGATATGCAGTAGCTTATACCATCTAGGTTTACATAAGTGTGTTCTGTGATGTTTGCATGATGACAAAATAGCCTAATGACACTTTTCTCAGAATGTATCCCTGTTGTTAAATGACACATGACTGTACACAAACACAGAACAGATCATAATAGACCAATGATCTATCTCATCTGACCCATTTGTTGATAATTCATACATTCATTTAATATGTATTGAATGTCTATGTGCTAGGTTCTTGGGACACATGAGCAATCAAAAGAGACAGAAATCTGGAATAGATCTGAGATACCAGAGATGAAACCATCACTATATGGTAACCTAATCTTTGATAAAGCAGACAAAAATATACAGTGGGGAAAAGAATCTTTCTTCAATAAATGGTGCTGGGAAAACTAGTTAGCTACATTCAGAAGAGCGAATCAGGATCCCTACCTCTCACCTCTCACAAAAATTCACTCAAGATGGATAACAGACTTAAACCTAAGGCATGAAACCTTAAGAATCCTAGAAGATGTTGGGAAAACCCTATCAGACATTGGTCTAGGCAAAGAATTTTTGAGGAAGACCCCCAAGGCAATCACTGCAGCATCAAAAATAAATAAATGGGATCTGATCAAATTAAAAAGTTTCTGCATAGCCAAGGAAACTATCAGCAGAGCAAATAGACAACCCACAGAGTGGGAGAAAATATTTGCTCTCTATACCTCTGATAAAGGTTTAATAACAAGACTCTATCTAGAACTTAAAAGAATTAACAAGAAAAAATCAAACAACCCAATCTAGAAATGGGTGATGAAAATGAACAGAAACTTCTCCAAAGTAGACAGAATAATGGTCTGCAAACATATTAAAAAATGCTCAACATCTCTAATCATCAGAGAAATGCAAATCAAAACCACAATGAGATACCACCTAACCCTAGTGAGAATGGCCTATATCAAGAAATCCCAAAACAACAAATGCCGGCGAGGATGTGGAGAGACAGGAACACTCTTACACTGCTGGTGGGACTGCAAATTAGTGCAACCTTTGTGGAAAAGAATTTGGAGATACCTCAAACAGCTAGAAATAGAAATACCATTCAACCCCGCAACAGCATTGTTGGGCATCTGCCCAAAAGAACATAAGACACTGCACTATAAAGACATCTGCACCTGAATGTTTATGGCAGCACAATTCACTATTGCACAGTCATGGAAACAACCCAAGTGCCTGTCAATTCATGAGTGGATAATTAAAATTTGGTATATGCTCACAATAGAATATTACTGAATTCTAAGAAACAACAGTGAGCTAACACTGTTTATGCAATCCTGGATTAAGCTTAAGCCCATTATCCAAAGTGAGGCGACACAAGATATAGAAAATGGGCTACACATCTACTCACCATCAAATTGGTACAGACTGATTAAAACTATGGTGCTCAAATGGTGGTGCTCACCAAAGATTGGGGGGCGGGGGAGATCCACATCTTGGGGATGTGGCGAGCATTGTAGGGGGGAAGGGCATACCTCTAACCCTTCTTAGGGAGAGGCAAAGATATACAATGTAACCAAAATGTCAAAAAAAAAAAAAAAGAAAATTTTTATCGGGTAGAGGGTAGGTGGGAGGGGGGAGGAGGAGAAGGGTGTATACTTACATAATGAGATGGGTACGGTACGCACCACCTGGGGGTTGGACACACTTGAAGCTCTAGCACATTGGGGTAGGGGGAAGAGGGATTGCAGGGGCCATATATGTAACCCTAACAATATTTGTACCACCATAATATGATGAAATAAAAGGGAAAAAAAAGAGACAGAAATCTCTGTCACTGTCATTTTGTATTCTTTGAAGACCATGGATAGAAGCCAAAGGGAGAAGACAATAAGCATAATGAATAAGTAAGTTACAGAATACATTAGAAAGTGATAAATGTGGAAAAAAGAAAAATAAAGGGAGGTGTTGCAATTTTAAGGAAAGTAGCCCTCACTAAGAAGGTAAGCATTGAAAAAATACTTCGAGAAAAAGTAGATAAGGGAGTTAGCCATTTGAGGAAAAACATTCTAGGCAGAGAGAAAATCTAGAGTTAAATCAGGCCATATCTGGTTTGCTCAAGGATATAAAGTGGAGTGAGCAAGGGAAACAATAACAAGAGATGACATCAAGGCAAACTGGGTATGGGGGAGAGGCAGATCTTGGAGGGCCTTATAGTCCATTTGGGGAGTACTGCCAGGTTTTGAACAGAGGAGAAACACAATTTGTTTTTGGTTATAAAAGCCAAAAAAAATGTTTCATGGAAGATGATTCAAGGCATATACTCAAAATGAGGAAATTTTCTGCTGAATATTACCAATATCTTATTTATAACTATCATCCATCAAAGCCTCCTTTGTTCTATTTCTGAGCCACCTCATTCAAACTTTAAGGGGTACTTTCCAAGTTAAATATCCTGGAATTTGTTAGTTCACTTAAATATAATTCATCATACTGCTTTTCGGCCTTCATTTTTGATCCATTTATAATCTTTAAATCCATTTTTAATTAGAAAATGAGCTTATTTTTACATGGAGTCTTTCCTCACTTTGATTATTATGGCCACTATAAGACTTTTCCTTCCTGAATTGTGGGAACAGTCATTTCTCTACTTCACTTTTAGATGTATCAGAAATATATCTGTAACCCATTTAAGACTGAGTCTTTAGAGAACAGGTTCTCTTAAATAGACGCAAAAGGCAGTGTGCATCTTACAAGTACGGAATGGGTTATTTCCTCTTATCTTTTCCTTATTCTTATGTGTAATTAAGCTCAACTGTCATTTTTTTAAAGTAACTCAAAGTGCTTCATGATATGTATCAATTTGTTCAAATAAACTTGACATTTTACTATCAGAACTATGTATAATCTGAAATCTGGGTGTTGTAGTCATTAATAAAAATGCCGTGAGCCTGTAATTGAGTCATTTCCACCCAGAAGTCTGTTTGTACGTAGTTCTCATTTCATAAACACACACTCTTCCCACAATTCTCCAACAATCCAGAGATTTTTATTTGGTTTTGTTTTCTAAGGGGAGGAACCCACAGAGAAGGTAATCAATATTTATTACTATTTTAAACTACATTTCAGAGAGCAAACTTTTTAAAAGAATAAAATTTGCTAGCTCTCTTCCCATCATCATTACTATTTATATTTTCAGCTACATTTCATCTACATTTAGAGACCCCAAAATGTTCTTGAAAAGAAATTTGGTAATATCTGAGGATAAAAATCCATGTCTCAGTATAATTTATACCAACTTACTAGGACATCTTCAGCCATTCATGACCTTCTGGTTTCCAATCACCTTTTGCCAAGCTCTCAAAATTTGTGATAACGGTACCACCTGCACCTAAAAATAAGAAAATAAAACAAGAACATTTAGCCAAATTTTCTTGAAAAAATATTTGAGGGGAGCCATAATTCTATCACCTGATTTAAAATTCCATGAGGATTCCCAAAATATAATTCTTGGGATAAAGAAAAAAGTTGCCTTGTCTATTTAAGGTACTGAAACAATTGTAATTCTTCCCTTTCGCCAGCATGAAACTGTCTGTTGTACCATAATTAAGGTTAAACTGGGGCCTCAGGCACAAAAATATGGCAGAAATTTGTTTCACAACTGAAAAAAAAATTCTCTGTTTTATCATTTCCTTTCCTAATATTGATTTTAGGTGAAGTACACTATACAAGAGGTTAGAGAAATTTGTTCAATTCCTACATACAAAACAACAATAAAGGTAAGTGATGCAAAGTGAACATGAACTCATAATCAATCATATTATTTCCAGTAATTCAGAATAAAAAATAAAAAAAAACAGAGAAATGATAGAGCAATCTTTTTCTTTACAGGTATCACACACTTTCTTTTTTAAATTTGTGTTTATGGTGGCACTATACTTAATTAACTATGAATCCTTCTGATTCTAAGCTACTAATCAAACAAATCATAAAAACTTTATGTAATAAATAGCCAGGCACAAAATAATGGCCGATGACCAGTACTAGTAAAAAGTACTAGTTTTAAATTAACTGAAAAGAAAAAGGTTTTCACCTTCCAAAAAGACTGTTATTAAAGTACAGTGATCCCCATTAAAGTAATGAGAGAACTGTTGAGTAGTTATGGTACACCAGTAACAGAAAATTTATGAACACATATCATTAATATTACCTCGGGCCCATCCAATAGCTATCATGACTAGCCAGCCATTTTTGTAATAGCTATTAGCATGTGTGACTCCACCTACTATTTTCCAAGTTCTGGTCACTTCCTTCATTCCTGCAGCCAGGAGTTGAACAGGTAAAAATGAATAGCCCTGGGAAACTAGGTCGCATGGGCAAAAAAATATAATATACCTGAAATTAAAATTGTAATATTTTAATATGTGAATGGAATCAGAAGAACAGAAATAAAAATCTTAACTATCAGCAATAACAATCTGGCAAAACACAACAAATGGAATTATTCACATAAACACTGAACTTGAATTCAATAAAAACACAGATTGGGTAGGGAGTCAATTTTTTAAATCACACAAAATATATGTAATCTGTCAAAAAGTCATGATTAGAGGATAATGTAAATTTTAGACTTCTGAATACTCTATAGATGTGTGGAATACTTACTGAGTTCCTCATTTGTGCCTGTACTATTCTAGAATCTAAGTGCTGAATCCACTAACAAAGCAAATGTATAATCACTTCCGGGGTAGGGATTCCTCTAGCTACAATGTTTTTTGTCTTCTGGGAAAATGAATTAGAGAAAAGGACCTTTTGGTAACTGAGCAAGGGCTGCATTTCAACCCCCACTAACTTCTTCACTGGTGCCCCTCTGTGCAGGACATAAACTGTAATCTATGCAAAGATAGGTGACAGCTCATAAGGAGCTATATTTATTAAGGAAAAACATATTTTCATACAATTAAAAAAATATGAAGCTTATTCTTTAAGTTAGTTGTCTAAACTTAAGTTTTAATAAAATTAAATTGTGATTAAAGAATAAGAATTAAAGAATAATTCACCCCTTCTGTTGTAAATTATTTTTTTAAACTTCATTTGTTCTAAGCATCTGTTCAAATACTAGCAGTTCTATCTATTGGAAAACACATTCCTTTTTTTCCCTCTATTCCTAAAATACTCTGGTAAACAATTTCGTGCTTAAAGCAGAACATTTCTTCTTTCTAATGGGGTGGTATAAAATACATTGCATGAAAGAAGTATCATATTTCTTCTAAAAGAAGCTATCATTCTTACTGCAATTCATGATTCGTAAAGTCAGAATTCTTGAAAGTTCATGGAATATGAAATGTCTGCCAAAATACTGCTTCAGAGACTGAACACAAGATACAATGGTTTGTTTAACCTAAGGCATTCTTTCTTCTTAGTCTCCACTTACCAATTCCTTCCTATTCTTCAAGGTCCCACTCAAATACTACCATAATCCATAGACTTTGGGGGTTTTGTTTTATTTAATCTTCTCAGCTCAGATTATATTCTGATGGCTCTGTACAACTAAACCAATTGGTTCCTATGCCTCAAAATAGCTCTTTATATATTTTTCTTTATAATATAAGAAAGACTGTAATGCTCATAATAAATTATAATAGTCCTTATATGACAGGAATTGTTCATCTTGTTAGCCTCTAATCTAAAACTCAGCATGATAAAAAGTAGCCCTGAATTAAATCATTTATTAGCAGTCAATCTGGAGGCAAAATACAAAATATATCAAATCAAAGAATCAGTTGATAATTAAAGAGCTTAAAAAAAGGAATAAATTATCTGAGAGTAGTAAAAAGATTTGTGAAAATGACTGGTTTAATTTAAAATTTTATATGTTCTTATAAGATTTTTGAAAATGGTATGATTTAAAATTTTTAGATGTCCATAAAAATATATGAAAATCCCTGTATACTACTCTCTTCAAATACGGAATAAATTTCCAGGACATTGTTTAAATAATGGGGAAAAAAAGAGTATATATACTTAAATAATCCATTTTAAATGTACTTTTAATAAAATAAAAATATTTTGGTATCTATTATAGATCAAGAAGGGAGGATTTTTTTTTGTTTTAGCAGTAACTGATGCTCACAAGTAAAATATTCAAAAAAGAAACAATAAAAACAATAATATTACAAATGACCCCATTTTCATTCCCTACACCGAGCCTATCTTTAACATGAGTTAAAAATTTAAACTATTACAACAGCAGTCTTGGACTTTTTATGTTCAATTATGTGACATTAGGGCATACTGTATAAAATTTGTAATTATTGCTATTTCTTTATAAATAACTTTATTCTATTTAATCAGATATTTATAAAATATATCTACAATAAGTATACGTAAGCAAGATATAGATAAGTATATCTACAATAACATTTTACACACACAAAAATCATTCTCATTTGAGTGTTAGATAGCCACAGAGTAAAACAATTATTATGCTCAGTAGACCTAACAAGTAAACAAAACATATCAGACAAATGGTTCCCTAAACAATTCCTGCTCTATAACACAAATTAGCTTTTTAAAATTCCTTTAATAAACCATTCAATCAAAACTTATTATTATTAAGTAATCACCATGTCCCTCTTTCTGTAAAGATTATAATTTCACCTTCAACTCAAATTGTCAAATTTAAGGTAACTTTAATTTGTAAAGTGCCTAAAGAATACATACCAGAAAAAGAGGAGAAATACAATCAGAAGACAATTGATTTCTCATACCTTTTTAACTCACATAGGTTAAGTTAATGAAGAGGAAAAAAATGACAAAAGAATAAAAGTTGGCCTAAAACAGGATACAAACAAGATCTTAAGCCACTAACAAATGAAAGCTAAACCAGTTTAAGAAAAAATGAGAGCAGAATTTAGGTTGATACCAAAGTTTGAGCAGAAAGAAGCTTCCCAGGATTAGTCATTAAGAACTCTGTTTTCACTCAACCATCAATTCCACTCCTCTATCAACCACAGTATCACTTAAGTAAGCCAAAACACAATGATAAACTAAATACAGTTCATGTTAGTTCAATATTACAGCTTTGTCTTGCTCTTATTAATCTAAAAAATTATTAATTTTATGTATATGCTTTGAAAAAGATCAACAGATAGAATGACACCTATAAAATTATATCTTTTCTTATATTTTTTCTCATCTAAATGTAATCTCAGTTATGCAAATGTAAAATATAAAATAACCGATACTTGGAAGCTTAAGGAAAACACTGGAGAACAAAAATCAATACATAGAAAAATGGTAAGATATTTTCCCCAGAAACAGCTTTCCAAACCAAAAAAGCCTATGAAAGCATACGCTGTCTTATAAGCAATAAAACTATACCATAACATACCCAGTTGTTGTTTCTTTGCCAGTAGATGGCGCTAATCTTCAGATGTATACACTATGAGCTATTGTACTAAAGATAAAGATGACCTTGCTTGCTAGATTTAAAGTACATTCCAAACACTATTTCTCAACTTAAAATCAAATGAAGCAAAGATTACAAATGTGTTCTAAATATTAAAACTTTAACAAAGAAAAGAGTAAAATATGCCTTTAAGCCAGCATCATTTTTTATATTTAAGGGTCTATGAAGATAGAGATAAAGTCCTTCTTTCTAGAGTACAAAACAATATTCTGCACAGAGTAAAGGACTAGATACTCTATGTTTTAATCCCAGCTCCAACCACCCCATATCTGTGATAACTTGGGCACGTTATAAACCACTCCACATTTCAGTTGCATTATCTGTTAAATAAAAATAAAATATACCTACCTCACAGGATTCTTGTGAGGTTTAAGTGAGATAATTAATATACACAAAGCACTTAGACTGGCTGGGACATAGTAAATGCTACATAAGTGGTTGCTGTTATTGTTGTCGTTTTGTAATGCCCAAGAAAATATCTACAGCCATCAAAAATGCTCATCAATAAAAGAATAAAATATAGATATTAATATGATAAATTATACAACAGTGGGAAGGAATGTGCTACAGCCACATACAAATACACAGATGAACATTAGTAATATAATGTTGAGTGAAAAAAATAAATCCCAAGAAACTATAAAAAATGTAACACCCCATTTTAAAATAAACAAATCTTTGCTTTTCTTACAGTTTTAGCATATATTTATATCTTTAATATAGTTTTTGAAAGTTTTATAAATGAAATCCTATGTATTTTTCTGTGACTTAAAAGGTTTTTTTTGTTCAACATATATTCCTGAGATTCATTGTTATTGTGTATAATTATACTTTATTAATTTTCACCAGTGTATATAGCACAACGGAATTAGTATGTCAATTTACTCATCCATTTCTCTGTTGACAGAGAGTTGTTTCTGGTTTTTCCCATTATAAATAGCATTTCTAAGAAGATTCTTATATATATTTACTAATGTACATCAGCAAGATTTTCTTTTGGTATATGTTGAACTATAGATTTGCTGAGTTATAGGGAAAGTGATTCTTAAACTCTATTAGATGATGACATTATATTAATATCTGTATTTCATTTATTCTTCTGTTGATATGCATTTTTATTGGTTCTAATTGTTTTATTGGGCCTCACAAAGTTAAAGGTAATGATTACCCCTGAGAAAGGAGGGAGGAGATAGAATAGGAGAGGAGCATAGAGGGGACTTCAAAACTAATGGCAAGTGTCCTTGGAAGATGCAGCTGCATAACACTTTGATCTCTTCAAATCCCCATAAAAACACACAGAGTAACTAGATAGCAAGACCAAAATCCCATGCACAATAAAGTTCACCCTCAACACAGGGGTTGAGATGCCAACCCCAATGAACTTGAAAAAAATCCATTCATCAGGTGTTGGGCAGGGGGGAGTGGGGAGAAGTGGATGAGTATATTCACACCTAATAGGTGTGGTATACACCATCTGGGAGATGGACATGCTTGAAGCTCTGACTCAGGTGGGGCAAAAGCAATATATGTAACCTAAACATTTGTACCCCCATAATATGCTGAAATTAATAAAAGAGAAAATCCACATATAACTTTTGACTCCCCAAAATTTAAATTACTGATATCCTACTGTAGACCAGAAGCCTTACCAATAATGTGAACAGTTGATTAACACATATTTTGTATGTTATATGTATTATATACTGTATTCTTATAATAAAGTAATCTAGAGAAAGGAAAATATTATTAAGAAAATCTTAAGGAAAGAAAATATATTTACTATTCATTAAGTGGAAGGGGATCATCATAAAGGTCTTCATCCTCTTCACCATCACGTTGAATATGCTGAGGAGGAGAAGGAAGAGGAGGGGTTGGTCTTGCTTTCTCAGTGGTGGCAGAGACAGAAGAAAATCTGCGCATAAGT